ACCCTTTTTTATTGAATTTACGTATGTCCTACCAAATCTGTACAAGTATACAAAACACATCATCTTCACCAAATAAACAAAATTGAAAGACTATAAATGTAACTTAAGCGACCTCAATGCGATACCTTTTAGCCTACATCACATCCCCAACTTACATTTTGCTAGTCCTTAAGCAAAACATTAGAAATAAGAAAAAGAAAATACTCTAAGCCACTTTCGTAGGGATCACGATTGCATTTAGCATATGCAACAAGCCTTTCAACCACAAAGTTATCCCAAGTAGACAAGTAAAGTCTCGTGAGGGTTTTCAAAAATGATACCCACAAACATTAACTTATTCACATCTATCCAACAGCAATCAATCATACTACACCACTCAAGAATTAACTTATGTGTCACTATAGTGCAATATTAAGACATGATGAATCATTGAAGGTACAATAGACAAGTATGAATGAATCTATTGAGTAGAAATCGCAATTCAGTCTTACACAAATCAAGTTCTATGTACTTGTGAATGCTAGTAGAACACATCATCAGTAACTTCGGTGTAATGTGCAATCTCCATAACTAGTTAACTAACCACTATAATAGCCTAGTGTAATCCATAATAACCCCCAACATATACAAACAAGATTAAACTTTTGTAGCCTGATCCATTAAGCTTTCTAATCAACTCATGTAACAAGCATTGGGCCAATGACTCCCAAGCCAAACGATTTTAGGGCACTACGTGTGAAGACACTCCTACGGGCTTAATAACTCGAGTTAAAGAGGCTACGAACCCAAGCAAGTCAGTTTTTTATTTATTTATTTATTTATTTTGAGAATCAAGGCTAGTCATTTATTCTTTTCTGCAGCACTAGCAATTATCAATTATGTACACTAGGGATTATAATAGAAAGGTCACCGCTATGATAGTGTGTTCATATGAATCAAGGCATACTTATGATAAGTGCACTAATACCACAATCACAAATAACTATTCTAGTGCAAATATCACATGCGAGTGTTTATCTAATAAACCATTTTCATATAAGTCTACTATGCTCCCCAATTAACATATGCAAATATCATCAGCCTACTAGCAACAAGTCGACATCAAGTGAAGTAGTGCAATCAAGTGAAGCAGGTATAAGTATGAATTATGAGCCAAATAGAAATGCACAAAAGAAAATACCCTCATCCCCCAACTTGAATATGACATTGGCATCTATGGAAACAAATGCGAAGTAAATATTAAAGAGAGAGAATATTACCAGACATTGTAGGTGTACATCCAGCAAGGCGCACACACTTTTTTTTCTTTTTTTTTTTGGTGACTGATATACCACACTAAAAACACACAAAATAATTAATAAATAAATAAAACTAAAATCCTCAGGTTTCCTCCCAAGAAGAGCTAAATTTATTGTCTTCAGCCAAATATCAACGCAAACTTATTTTCGCCTTTTCTTTCAATTTATGAGATATAGGTCCCTGTAATGAAAATAAATCAACTCGTCCAACAGTGCCGGACTAGGTTGTAAATGACTTGTGGGAAGAGGATTCACGGAGTGGAGAAATATGTGTGTGAAAAGTATAGTGTGTATAATAATCTCATGGGTGGACACAATAAGATCAAAACCAAAAATAAAATCCCATCCATGCTGATTTACTTTATCACTATAAGTTTCTACAATTAAGTCCCTTTCAATTTCTTCCACATGAAAGGCCAAAACTGTGGGGAGAGTTTCTGTCATATCTATGGGTGTAACGGTAGGCTCAAGTGACAAAAATACTAACTCCATATCAGTTATTGGATCACTGGAGAGATGTGTGGTGGCTTCACTAGGTTCAATTTGCAGCTCTTTTTCAAATATCTCACAGCATGCACTCTTATGAAAGTCTTGAATGAGTTGGTCAAAAGAAATCCACACCTCAGGTGGGAACATTTCAAAATTTTTAGTTGACCACATTGTGTCTACAAATTGACTTGTTTGAGAGTTCAACCAACTGTAAAAGAAAGTAATGAGTTGAGTCATTTTGTAGCCATGTTGTGGACAAGCATCTACATAGCTTTTTTATCGTTTCCAACAATGACAAAATAACTCATCCGCTTCCTGAGTAAAATTTATTTATTTATTTATTTTTTTTTAGGAAGGATAAGGTCAGATGGAGGTTGTGATTCTTTCCATTTAAAATAAACCAACATATTTATCCAATTCAAGGCTGACAAGAACGGCGCCCGTGCATACACCACTCACACACACTCTAAGTTCCGACTCTTGTGCACTAGTTATGAAAGCAAAATACCAAAAAGGAAAAATACTCACAGCGGTTTAACGAAAACACTTTACTCGTCTTGCGGGTACTTGACGTGTAGACCGTTGTCTCCAATTTCCACTTAAGCTCTTTTTTTCTTCTTAGCACTTTGGTGCTTTGCTTGCGAGTATTTACTTCTTTTTTTTTCTTTTAGTACTTTAGTGCTGCAATTTGTTTTTAAAGCTCAGTTGTGCTCTGCTTGCACTTCAGTGATAGCTCCACTTACAAAAACACTGCACACTTAGCAACACGAAAACATAATATCCTAACCTAAAAATTAAATAAGAATATAATTTTAAATTAATTAATTTCGCCAAAAATCCCCAACAACGATGCCAAAATTTGATGGGCCATTTCACACACCAAATATAAACACTAAACTATACCAAATTCCTTAGAATAACGGTAAGTCCAAGTATCGATCCACATGGACAAACAGAAAATTAAACTAATTTAATTGTTAAATTCCTAAATTAATTTTGATGAAAAAGCTTATTGTTCATAACCTAATAATAATTAAATTAAACAAAGCGATTAAACTAGCGATTAAAATTGAAATTGGAATTACTGAATGTGGAAAAACCTAGGGTAATGAATTCACCACTAATTACATAAATAAGGTTTCAATTTGAAAATCAATTATGCTATGGTTTAAACTAAATAATACTTCGCAACTACAAGTTCGAAGCATTGATCAAGAGAGTTATTACGTTCAATATACAAGCACAAACCATCTCAAGTAGTACGAGTCGTTTGCTCTAAACTACGACAACAAAACGACTCATCCCTCGTAGTATGGCTCGTTTCATACCTTGAATATGAAATAAAAGAAAACTATTGTATGGAAAGCATTCAACAATCAAAAAAAGCCAAATACTCAAAGAAATAATGGAAAATAAATATTTGAAACTTTTTAAACACCATACAATTGTTCAAACCATTATATAAAAGAAAATAAAAAAGAAAACCTATTTACATAGTTAGGGTTTCATCAAAACCCTAGAATGATGAGCCTAGCCACTCATGGAAGAGTGGGAAGAGGTAGAGTGAGAAGAAGCCACCATGGGAGACCTTCTTCAAGCTTCAAGTTATTTTTCTCCAAACCCTAGCCCCTCTCTTCTTGGAAAAAATATCAGAACCCTAGGTTAGCCTATTTTTCTTCCTTTTATTCTCAGCAGAACAAACCCAAAATTCTGCGCATGCATCCTTAGGTGGGCCACTCGAGCGGTGGGAGCTTGGCCGCACATGCGGTGAGGTGGCTGGCTTGGATTTTTCGCTTCTTGCTTGGAGAATCTACTTTCGTGCCCTTTTTGATTGAATTTGCATATTTCCTGCCAAATCTGTACAAGTGCACAAAACACATCATTTTCACCAAATAAACAAAATTAAAAGACTATAAATGTAACTGAAGCAACCTCAATGCGGTACCTTTCGGTCTACATCAACAAATTTCAATCTGTCGTTGAAAATTAGTTGTGGCATTTTTAATAGTGTATAATGGAAAACGTCATTAATTATCATAAGACCTATTGGACAATAAGTTCACTTAGTATGACCTATATATAAGTTCCCCATATATATAAACACCGGAACAAATCATATTTTCTTATCCATTCTATAAAACAAAAAACGATTTGCTTCCGTATTTATAGTTGTCTGATAGAGTTGATTTTTTACGCGAATAATTTTTACTATGAAACTTACAAAGTAGACCGTTCAGATCATTTGTATGTGGCCAAGTTAAAGCCTACAGGAAGGGTATAAACGAATGTCAAGAGATGAAATATGGAGATGAGCTTATCCCTAACTTATACCTATTATCTTATAAAATTATTAAAAGGGTAAATATTATTTTTTTAAAATGTGATATAATCATATGATTATTGATGTTCAATCATGTTTAACAAATCATACAAATTCAATAATTTAAATCAATAAAGTGAGTCTCAAAATGGGATCATCGAACCCACCAATACTCTTCAATTAAAATTAATGTTGAACGTAACAATAACACATCACTAACCACAAAATAATCATAAATGGAAACTGTGATCCCCCGCTGCAAAGCGAAATTGCTTATTAAATAGAAATACTACCCCGTGACATTACTATCACTGTTATATCTAACATATATATACACATGCCAAACTGAAGAGAAATTAAACCCTCTTTATTTCTCCATCTTCCATCCATCCAATCAAGGAAAATTAAACCAAAATCCAATCAACAGAAGCATATAAATTCTTTTCTGAAAAAAAAGCATATAAATTCTGGGTGATTCAACAGATGAGCATTAGTTTCTTTTTCTTTTCTTTTTTTTCCTTTTCAGCTAAGGTAGAGAGTCCAAAGATGGAAAATATGGAAACCATTGGCTACAATTTGCATAAAATACAACAAAGCATTCTTGTTATCAAAAAACAAAAAAGGCATTCTTGAAGTGAAATAACTCTTTATTACAAGTATTGTTTCAGCCAAATTCAACAACACAAACCTATGATTTCTATTCTGAAAATTATGTATAAAAACTTTGACATATTGACTACAAGTAAAACCTGGAAAGCAGCCGACACGGCAGAACTCAGTTGACACTCAACATTCAGCTAAAGTAGAGAGTCAAGAGATGGAAAATATGGAAACCATTGGCTACAATTTGCATAAAATACAACAAAGCATTCTTGTTATCAAAAAACAAAAAAGGCATTCTTGAAGTGAAATAACTCTTTATTACAAGTATTGTTTCAGCCAAATTCAACAACACGAACCTATGATTTCTATTCTGAAAATTATGTATAAAAACTTTTGACATATTGACTACAAGTAAAACCTGGAAAGCAGCCGACACGGCAGAACAGTTGACACTCAACATAGCACTACTGCTTCATGAAACTAAAATATCGATCGATCACCCAAATGAAAAAATGAATTTTAGAAAAAAAAAAGTGGAAATTAGGCGCAACAGAAACCAGAACGGACATATCAACTGGCCCACTGTAACACATGCCTTCCTGTATGTACTTGGTACGGATATTGGCTTCGTCTTCAAATTTGTTGAGGCCCTATTTCACACAACTGTATATTTCTTGAACGTCTTTGGCTAACAAAGTCTTACTTTTCTCCAGAATGCCTAGCTGAGACCTGAGTGTCTACCAATCTTGCTTCACGCTTTCTCTTACTTCTGGAGGTGCGTTTTGATCTGCGTGCTCGAGTTTTCATAATATGTTTCTCCCTGTTTTCCTCGATTTCAATCCTTTTTTCATTAGCTGGAAGTTCAGGAGGAGAATCTGGCCATGGTGTGCGTTTTGCCGGGACAGTGACCTCCAATGGGGGATCAATGATCCATCTGTATGAAACAAAAGATAATACTCAAATGACATGCAGAGGCAAAACTGATAAAGTCTAGCTAATGCGAATAAGATAATAAATATTGTTTCATACTTGTATGTAATATTACTCGGATTAATCAAATCGGGACACACACCTCGTATGAAGTTAAGGGCAAAATATTGAACACACATTTCAAGCTTGAGCACACTTTTTGATAATTACTCGAATAACACAGTAAAATAATTTGACAAAATCTTAAGCACCAGATTATCCACAAAAATGCATGCCATTACTAAGTTGTGGATCTTTTGCGGTTTTCGAAGTATCAAACTGGCAGCATATCACAGAACAACATAAATCTACTAGTTTATCAACTAGAGCTGATAATAACAATAATGGAATTCAATTCAAGGTTGAGATAGTTTGAGAAGCAGAACTTGTATCCCATTGGCTACCAGATGCTCGGACCACACTCTTCTCTATCATGGGTATTTTTGGTCTTTTTACACTTGTGAGAGAAAAAGTATGTGACACCAACATTTTCTGGTGTGCGGCATTATAATTTTCCAAAAAAAAAAAAAAGGGAAAAGAGTAAATGTATGATGAAATTACAGTTAGCTACTCCATTTAAAATCTGCCTCAAATTATGGTCATTGTTTTGTTGTAAGTCAAAATATTGCAATTATATGCACAATGAGTCAATGACACATAATAATTACCAACTACAATCAAATGTGACCCATACTATGGCTTAACCTTTGAGATGAGCAATCAAATTTTAACCCTCTGATAGATCTAACCAGCAAGGTAAGCCAGCTCCTTCTCTACGTACCTTCTCTAGAACAATTCTTCATATCTGTGAATGTTCAACAAATGGGAAGGCACAGATGGGTTTCACAACAAAATTAATGCCAATTTATTTGACATTGAACTCCATAAAATTAGGAATGTAACCGTAAAATAATGCATGTGATGGGGTTCAAATGAGCACTAGAATACAGAGACACACATCTATTGTGAGGCAGCCATTAGCACATAAGGAAAGCAACGTATATGGATGATTGTGTGTTTTATTTCAATAGCATTGCTTCCAGGTTAATATTGTGGTATTTTCCCTAGAACAAATAACTCTGTTAGCAAGGATCAAATTTTCGTTTTGGTCAACTCAGAAACGGTAACATGACGGAAGAAGATAAAAAAATTGGAAACATGAACCAAATAAAGTGTTATCTGTATGAGTTTTAAAAGCCAATATTTCAACAATTGAACACGATTGAGGGCTATACATTCATTTTAGACTAGAAAAAACTACACTATAATTAGCTAGTAAATGTCAATGTTGATCTACATTACACGGACTTGCCAGTTTTGGCAACATACCCGTGTCAACATGGCAACGTACCCGTGTCGACACGACATGGGTACGGGTGTAGAATACAGCAGGGATACAACATGGAGAAAGTGGATGCGGTGGCATACCTGCGATTAGGGCTGAGACTAGGGCTTCGATCGTCTTCGTCACTCTCTTCTCTCACTATCGATCTCGATCGTCTTCGTCTCTCTCTCTTCTCTCATTCTCAATCTCCTCTTCGTCTCTATTTTCTCTCTTATCTCGATCCATTCTCCGTTCTCTCTCTCCCTCTCCGTTTTAATATTTATTTTATATAATATAATTTATCATATATAATATATATAATATAATTTATAAATTATAATTTTTATCATATATAATATAATTTATCATAAACAATATAATTTTTATGTCTAAAATAAAAAATTATTTATCTTATCATATATAATATAATTTTTATTTATTATTTATTATTTATTTTTTAACATAATTTATTATTTCTTAACTTTTTAACATATAATAAATAAAATGAATCATCTAATTGTTTAAAAGAAATCTATTTAAATCATATATAATAAAAAAAAATCTGCAAAAATCCATAAAATGAAATATCTAATTTTTATTTATTATTTATTTTAACATAATTTATTATTCCTTATTTATTATAATTTTTTATTTATAATATATAACATATCCCCGTACCCGTATACACATTTGGATCCATATCCACGTATCCTCAATTTTTAGTTTTGAAGTGTCTGACCCCCAGATATGCACATGCACCAGCACCCGATACCCACACCCGAGTCCGTGTAACGTAGATGTTGATTGAAAGTACTTGATAAGTAAAATAATGTCAAATATTTCATTCCTATATAAAACCATTTATATATTATATATGATTCCATATTTGATTATTACTGTATACGACTCCTTACCTGAATAGATTGGAAGAACACAAGACTTGATTTGGGTTAGTTTGATTTTGACTCCACGGTCTAATGGATAAGGCACTAGTTCATGGAACTATAAATTTTTGGGTTCAATCCCCATTCGAGTCCTAGACTACACAAGATTTTGAAAAGCGTTTGCAATCACCATAATAGTTGCGGTGACGCGGTAGCGGTTGCGGATGCGGAGTGTAAAGGTCGTAGCGTAATGGTTGCGGTAACTGAAATTGTATTTTTTTAATTTTTTGCACAATTTGAAGAAAACTTACCGATATGCATATATATATATATATATATTTTTTTTTTCAGAATCACATTTATTGGGGTTTAAAATAAATTTTGATCAACTTTTTTTAATTTTTAAGTATGATCCAATATATTTTATTTCAATAGTTAATGATTTTAAAATGTCTACAAATTATTTTTCACCAATACTTGAACTAACTAAATAAAAAATATTCACAATTATTAAATAAAAGGATTATCAAGTAAAAATTGTGCAATAAATTAATAAAAACTTATAAAGAAAAAAATTCATATAAGATTTTTTCTTTGAGTTTGGATCACTTGAGTATTTGTTCTTTTTTTGTAAGCTTTTGTTTTTTTGGAAAAAAATGAAGCTATTTAGAATATTGGAAAAGGGTGTAATGGTGTCTAACGAACCGTTACGGCCATTACGGTACAGCTACGGCCGTTACGTAATACCGAAATGGCTGTTACACATGTAAATTTCCGTTACACCGCTATAGCGGCCGTAATGGGTGGTGGTAATCACCACAACTATTACATAATGACGTTACGTAACGGTTGTGACCGCTTTTTAAAACCTTGCTACATACGCATTCATTAATCCAAAAAAAAAAAAAAGAGGTTCCATGTCATATAATATTTTACATAAAATTGTCATAATAAAGTATTATGTAAATCACAATAAAGAAGGATATTAGAAAAGATAACTTAATATTAATGTTTTTTTTATGGTTAGAGGCTACAATCTGTGGTTCTTTGGTGTGCCATAAACTTTCTTACCATGATCAAGGGAAATGATTCAGAGTAACTGAATCCAATATTTTAAAGAAACCCTCCTAGTAGCACACTTAATTTGCAAATCATGCACTGACAAGCCCTTCATTTAGCAATTTAACATTTATCTGTGTTTGCTTCATTTTACATGCAAGTGTTATGATGTATATGTATGTAATTATGTCTTTGTGCAACTAAATTTTCAAGTATATACATCAAATAAGTTAAGCTAAGGATGACCGAATTTTTTAGCCTTTACTTCATAACCATCTCGTAGCCAGTTAATTTGCTATCACAGCTAGCATGCTACAGTTGCCTTAATGGTTTAGCAAATAAACAAAGCTGCAGCCTAGAGTTGACTATCAAAAACACAAACAGCAACATGCCAACCCAGGCCACCTATTTCTAGCATCTTGCAAGTCCCATGCCAAAGTCCAAGCTATGGTTTTCATCTCCTTCCACACACCCAATTTATTAATTCCACATAATGTAAGGACTAGATGTAAAATGTTTTCATTCTGTGGGCAAGCACATATTGTTATATTTAGATTGTAGGGACAAACAAACTAGAAAAGACAGAGTTAAGGAATGAGTGTATTCTTGAATGGGTAGGAGTAGTACCGACAGAAGATAAGTTAAGAGAGAATAGATTGCGATGGTTTGGTCATATACAACGGAGACTAACAGAAACAGTAGTGAAGAGATGCGAAATAGTAACGGTAGATGCAATTGTTAAGGGAAATGACAGACCTAGATTGACATGAGCTAGTGTAGTAAATAGAGATATAAATCTCCTGAATTTGACTAACTAAATGGCTGTTGATAGAGTTGAGTGGAGAAGAAGTATTCATGTAGCCAACCCTTTTGATGGGACTTGAGACTTGGTTTGATTTGGACAAACAGATTGATGGAAAGGATAGATTATACAACAGTAGACTGGAAAGCAGGATTATTATTATTTATTTTTATATCAGTGGCTACCAGGAATATTGATTATTGATTAACTCGAAATCCATTAAACTTGGTTTACCTATCTAAGCTCTATCATATGGCGATAGTGTGGATAGCAAATTTTATTCACATTATTAGAGTCTGTTGGATCCTCCAAACCAGCAAGTGTGGGTACATTTTACATGTATGCATATATTCATATATTGTGTCCATATTTGTGGTTTAGAGAACATTCCTATGATTTAATCAGGATAAATCTTAATAATTACATCAAACTGATTGTTATCAAAATGATCCTCCAATATTTGATTCTACCAAAAGAAATATCACGTCGAAAAGGCTCAAACAAATGCAATGCTAGGGACAATGGTATATACATACATGCAATCATGTAATATAAAATAAGGTACTTCACATCATTCAAACCATAAAGCAAGGGCCGGTCAACTAAATCAACATGAACACTCAACCATCCATAATCTCATATACTGTCTATAGTCTAGACACGAGACATGCTATGATTCAGAAACATGGACATGGGGTGTCAAATATTGCTAATCTGGATGCTAGGGGCGTAAGAATTGTGTCTTTAATGAATGGATGGGAGCACCTGCAATCTATGTGGCAATGTCTACTTTGTGTGCATGTGCGTATGTGTTCATTTGGACGACTACATAACCATTGGGAGTTGTCTTGACTAATGAAATAACTAACATAAACTACATGACATGATCATAAGTTTTAGTATATCATAAATCAAAAAGTGAATAAATGAAAAACACACTATATTAGGTATTGCACCAAAGGGTTGCACTTGCATGTTCTTCTCACTTTGAATTTACTGAAAATGAACTACTTTATAAGACAATAAACCGGTAGGATTTTGCATGAACACATTTGATTTTCCAATTGTAGATTTGAAGAAGGGTCCTACCAATTATGGAATAAGTTTTGGTCTTAAAAGGTTATAAATTGGCATATAGGTTGGGTGAGATCAGGGGGAACGTGACTTGCAAAACTTGGGCTCCTCTCACCAATTAAGGTAGATTTCTCCTAAGGTTTGGAGAAAATACGACAAACCCCTATTCTACCATAATTACACGACCTCCCTTTTAGTAAAGCTAAAGAACTAGAAGACACAAAGTTGAATGCGGTAAAATATACATTTCACTTTAAACAAGATGACTACATCATTTTTCCATCCATATGACTAACAAATTATTGATGACAAGGGAGCCAAGAGTTATGTAAATTAAAACCTTAAGGTAGCAATGTAATTATGCCAAACTTGTGGGGCTTACTATATTTTCTCCAAAATACTGGGGAGGTCAATGAAATTTACCTTTATCTTTATTATAAACATTGATCCTGCAGAACACAAAAGTGAATCTAGAATGTCTAAAAATGCTTTAAAAAGATTGATAATCTAAATGAAAACTACTTTAATAAGATCAGAAGCCAAACAAGAATGGCTATAACCATGGAAAAATTCTGGAGGACCAGATGATTGGGTTATGACTTTGCAAACTCTGTGTCTAATAGTCATTTCAACAAAATAAAACATTAAACAAGTACTGCATTTGACTGCTGCCTCATGATATTCTAACACTAAATCATTCTAACTTTGTACCCACACAAAAAAGCTCTTCCAACATCTCTATTCTTAAAATCACTTCAGATCATGCTTCAATAGCATGACTGACATTTAGTTTATTTTGTCCACTAGTGTAAATTTCCAGAAGGGATCACAGAATAATGTGTAAAGCTGACATTCCCTATTCCAATGCATTTTGTACACCTCTTATCTAAACTTCCAAAGTATTTCCAGTTTATTGTCAGTCAAACTGGAAGGCATGCAAAATAGAGAAACTTGAGATGAGCAAGCCTCAAAACTTTTGGAAAGCATTTGATTGAATGAGATTCCCATATATTTTTCAGGTAACATTTTAAAACTGACTTTCGTTCTTATGCTTAGTTTTTCTATTAAAAAAAAAATATATATATATATATATATGCTTAATTGGCCTTGTTTTGGAAGTTGGCTGTTTAAGTTGGCTATTTGGCTTTTTAACTATTTTAACTTGGCTAAAATAGTTGTTTTTGAGAAGTTGGTTGGTTTTTTTTTTTTTTTTTTTTTTTTTTTTTTTTTCTCTCTTTTCTTTCTTTTTGTAGTTGATTTGATGTTTGTAGTTGACTTGATGGTTATTAGGGAAAAAGTGAAATGATTATGAGTTGAATATGACATTTTGTCTTATTAGTTATTTTAGTCTATTTTGTCTTTTTAGTGGGCTATTTTAACCCAACTCTCTTTTCAAACAAGGCCATCATTCAGCAGTGCCCCATTTTTTGAAACATAAAAGGGAAATTGCTAGTGATAGTTCTTTATATTCTTCATCCTCCGTTCAAGTGTTCCTCAGTTCTAGACATATGGAAAATTCCATCAAGGAAAACTATTCAAAGAAACAACTAGTAAAAACTCACCTATATCAAAGTTACACAAATATGACCAGGCAATGCAAAAATGAAGCATGACATAATTTGGGAAGACAGAAGTGCATGAAACAATTACTGGTACCAATGAAAAACATCAGGGTCTGTCAAGGCCCTTTGGTAACTTCTTGTAACCACTATCTGTTAGAGGCCTCCACAGAAGTTGAACAATAGATTAGTTAGATTTGGTCTGTTCCATTTCATATTTCTAAGAACTCACATTTATCTGCAGTTAGGTTAGACACAATTGAGTGTCATTGTAATATCTAATTCTTGGTGTCGCTTCTTTGAAGCCGTGTTGACCCAGGGTCGTGTCTTGAATGCCATTGTAATATCTATTTTTTTGGTATAAACCTAACCACTTACCTACCCAAAAGAGGAAAAAAATAAAATAAAAAAATAAAAAATAATTGAGCATGTATGTAATGGGAAAGCATGTACACGACACATTCAATTATTAGTAAGTACAACTACCATAAAGAAAATATTAGAAAAGCAATGCAGATTCCAAATGGGTTCTACCACAAAGCTAATTAACATCATTATTAACCCAATATATGATAGAATAATCATGTGTCGATTGAGTTAGCATCATTTAGAAAGCAAAAATATTGACATAACAAGAGTGATAGCAAATGACTAACCTGGCAGGAAATTTGCTATCTGCACGAGCTTCAACACGGAGCCACCACAGCAAAACCTTGCGCCCACAACTGCCCAGAGGCTCGACCACTGAAGGGTCCTTCAGCAAAGATAATGGACTCTGGATATCCTCTCCATCCCCAGCTATTGAATCTAGATCCTTAACCCATTCAGGCTTATCTTCACTTTCCCTCCAGAGCAACCTGGAATTCAACACAAACCCAGCCCACTCCATCTTCCTGGGCAACACAACTGCCCTATCACCAATATAATTCGCACTCCTCCCCGCATATGGCAATGAATTAAAGGTGTGCCAGCCAACCAACTTGTCTGATGAATTACACGCTGGTCCTTGAACTGGCATAGGCGAGTTCTCTACATCTTCTTCCTTGTGAACTACTGATAATTCTTCATCAGAATTACTCGAATGAACAAGAATGCCAACCGATACAGCGCCAATCCATTTCACCTTTTGGATCTCATCAAAAAGCTCCATACTATGCATATTACTATCATCTGCAAACATCAAAATCCCATCTAGTTTCTCTTCTCTCACAACTCTGCTCCATCACAAACCCACTGCATTAAATTCAATCCTAAACAATAATCCCAAAAATAAATGCAATAAATTAAAGAATTAGATCCTTTAATTCACCTCAAAGCTTGAAGTCGCATCCGAACCTCCATCTGATGCCGATCTTCCCAATAAATTGGCATCTTCTCATCTATTGCAATGTGGATAACCCTAAGCCCAGACTTTGCAAGCAACGAAGCAGTCTCGTTGGTTCTTCCACCAGCTTCAACAACAATCCAGATGAGATCGTAAGGCAAATTCATCAAAGAATGCATCAATCCAGTAAGATGAAGAGTCTGGAAAGTTCGAACATAGGTGGGAGTGATAGCAATCACAGTTCTAGGGTCTTTGATTCCGTACTGAAGCCTCTGTTCTCTCTGAACCCTCTCGATTATCCGATGAGCTTTCATGACCTCCACTGGATTTGGATGCGGCCATGGCCGAATCAAGATCCCGTGCCTCCCAACCACTACTCTGCTACTCGAAACCACGACGGTTCCATTCGGCGGCGACGAAGATGATGAAGAAGAAGGGAGTGTGGTCTGAAGAGTTAGGGCATCGGCGGAGAAGAGATTGTTGTTGCTGGTAGTGGTGGTGGTGGAGAAGAGGAGGAAGAAGATGAGGCGAGAGAATCTGAACCCTAGGACGAGGCTGATGAGACAGCAGAGGCCGTGGAGGACTAGCCAGAATACCGCTGCCGGAGATTTGGATCCGCCGTCGATTGAAGACTCCAACGGCGGTGATCCTCTGAAGCTGTTGCTCCGGCGGTTGGTGTAGCTCTGCTGGAGCGCCGACGGCTTCATTTTCTTTCTCTCCTCCGACAAAGGGTTGAGGAATCCGCGCAGATGGTGTGAACTGGTTTGAAATTGGGATCTGAATTGGGTGTTTGGAGAGAGAGAAAGTGAGGAGGAAAATGGTGGGTGGTGGAGTGATAGTTTAATGTGTAGTTTAATCAAAAAGATTTCTTTGGGTTTACGAATGAATCGCTTGCTTTGTAATTGTCTGCTTGTATTTTACTCCATCTATACGTCTACATATACAGAGAGAGATAGATTCAACGATTTCATGCTCGAATTCGGACATGAAGGTTGGTTTTGTTAAAAAACAGTAGAAAATCTAGGGCCTTGGTCTCATTTACACTACAAATAATTATATACCTATGATTGAAAAATTTTAATGGGGTAGTTACATTATTATTCACCTTCTAATTTTCACATAATTTTATTTTTATCTCATTAATATAGAAAATTGGTCTCATCTCTACAAATACTTATGATTGAAACATTTTAATGGGTTAAATTACATTATTCACTTTCTAATTTTCACATAATTTTATTTTGGAAAAATTATAAGTAAATCTTGAGAATTTTATTTTTTTAACCAAGTAAATTTTAATTTTTTTTTATCAATTCAAATTCTAATATTTTAATTTATTTTTAATATAAATCATTTAGCTATTTTATTTAAGTAAGCTGATGAAAAAAATATTTTAATTCTTAAACTTAATATAAATATATATATAATGCTTAAAATTTCTTTTTCGTTAAATTTAATGACTAAAATATTTTTCTTTCTCTCAATGTTACTTAATTAAAATAGATATATGATTTAAATTAAAAATAAATTTAAAAATTATAATTTAAATTGATAAAATTTAAAACTTTAGAATTTTATTTAGTTATAATGATCAACCCTCCTATTTTTATTTTTATTTTTTGTTGCTGTAGTTTTTCCCTTTATTTTTGTCTCTCATTATAATAGTTAAACAAATTATATCCACAGTTCTTATATTTATTTTCTATGTTGATTTAATCATTATAGTTCTAACTGTATATTAATTTTATTTTTAAAATTAAACAAAAATCAAAGATAAAATGGTCTACTTTTCAATCTCATTGCACCTTAGAAATGTTGTTTGACACTCTACATTTTATAATTTTGTTGATATCATTATACCACGAATTTAAATTATCAAAAATGATAAAACTTAAAACCTACATCGATTTCTGTCACTTCCTTCAGTTTCAGCAATCGTCTCAATTTTTGACCACCCTTTATTTATTATTTTTAATTAGTATTTTTTTTTAAAAAAATAATTTAATACGTCCAAATTCGACATAGCATTATTCATTTAAGTATCAATAATTACATTATAAGTTATGAAAAGGCCTTTTTTTTAAAAAAAAAAAATAGCACCTTTAATAACTATAATTTAATGACTAGGAATTGAAATGTCGGTACTAAAAAAATTGCAATTTCAAAGTCATATGTACTTTATAACTCAAAAAAAAAAAGTATATTTTAATTTTTTGAGTCATAATTAAAAAAAAATATCATAACTAAACATAACATAAGACATAATTAGAACTCATGAGTCATAATTAAAAAAGAAAATTTATCATAACTAAAAAAGAAAATGACATAATTATAATACACCCTTTTTAAATAGGTGTATATTAAAATTTCTCATATAACAATCATAAACGTAGATTTAATAGTTTTTTTTAAAAAAATAAGGGGAACTAGATGCCGGTGAGAGAATGAGAAAAAAAATTATCAACAAATACGAGGTGCAAGTGTGTCTATAGTGGGGTACAAAAGAAAAGTGTTGAGGGTACAAGTGTCACTTGCACCTCTCCATGTATTATTTATTTATTTTTATTTTTTTTCTTCTTCCACTTGCATATAGTTTCTCAAAAGAATATGATTTCACATCATCTTGGACAAGAAATTTTATAAATAAAATATGTGTATATTTAAAAAAAAAAAAATAGTTCTTTTTTAAATTAATAGTAGTTGTTATCCCTCCGAATCTGCTGAAGGGTGGGAAAAAAGGAAAAATAAGAATAGATGGAGAACACTGCCCAACTTAGTACTCAGCTGGAAAACACTGGCAGAATAGATGACACCTGGCTGACCTGTAATAGAAAGAGAAGATTCTGGCGGTGGTTCGTCCACCCAGGGGTACTCCGACGATCAAGTCAGTATATCTCTCAAAGATAATCAATAGTGCAAATTTCACTGTTCAGAATATGAAATTGCGTACCTTAGACCCACGGGGGTGTCTCTTTTTTATAGCTAACTCAATCCTTGTCCCAACAAGAGCCTAGCTCTAATGAACTTAGGATTACTATAAATCTCGAACTCTCAGTAGGATGGGGATAAACTCCCTAAGAGTCTTATCATTTCCCAACTATAGTCATCCCCCTTTCTAGGACTCTTGTGCCTTATCCGCTTATCTCGGGTTCCGATATCTTCGGAGGTAACCTCGGCCTTGCTGAGATAACCTCGGCGTCATGACCAGGACACGTGGCACCTTGGCTGACACGTCGGCGTCACCTTGGCCACGTGTTGGTACTCAGAAAATATATCCCCACAGTTGTCATCCTTACTTCACACACACACACACACACACAGAATCGGATTTGTGTTAATGCCGGTATGTTTGATGCGACGTGCACTACAATATTTTCTTAATTTAGTAACATTTGAAAGTGCCATAAAACTATTAGTTTAATGACGTTTTTTAGCCTTGTGGCATTTTGTCATGCATCACTATTCAATCGTTTCATTCACGCGTCTTATCCTCATTGGATCGTGCCTGTGACGCGCCTGTAAGCCGTCTTGCGCCTGCGTACGCCGTCTGACATTTGCTGCTCTAGGCGCATTAACTGCCCTTTTTTGCCGTCGTTTCAAGTTTTAAAAAAAACTTTTCCCTCTTCTTTCATTTCTTCACTTTTCATTTGATACTCTTACTTTTTCTCTTTCTTACTTTTTTCTCTTGAATTCGCCATTGTTCCAGACTTCAAGCTCTGCAACTACCTTTATTCCTCCCTCTTGGTGAAGCTTTCGCCATTCTGTTACTTCCGTAACCGTCGCCTGACTTCGGCGATCTTCATACCGGTTTCACTTTTTCTGGTAAGCCACTGTTCGTTTTGTTTTCAATTCTCTGATGTTCTTTACTACTTGTTGCCATTACTGCTTTGTTTAAACATTCGATTTGTGAATCTCATATCTGAGTGTGTTTTACTCCACAATTTTGCCCTTGCCCGTGTCCTGAATACACTCATTATTCACCATTTTCTTGCACTTTGTACCCCTTGTACGCGCTATGTTCTTGATAGCTCATCTTTGTTCTTGATTCGGAAACTTGTTCTTGTTTTCTGTTTTTTGTGTCTTTTCCAGATTTGTGCCTTCAATCTTCGTTTCCATAGACTTAGGTTCGGGATTTTTCTGTAGAACCCACAATTTAGGAAAAAACTAAAACCTGTATTTACCTAAGTGTTTGCCGAGGTCCCAATAACCTTTTCAAAATATCTTCTGAAATCCAACTCCCTTGATTAAGCCGATATCATGGGTATGTGAAAACATAGGGTAGACACCCCATCCAAACTAAAATTCTTTAGACAAGAGTTTGAAATCCCAGCCGACGTCCATCTGAGGTTGGCTGGGGATGATGACTCCATCATGCCTACTGATGACTCCATGCCTTTCCCTGTGGTAGCTTTCATTGAGTGTGGACTTCGGCTCCCACTCTATACCCTTTTCCGTGAAATGTTTCATTATTACAAGTTGAACCCAATGCAACTTTCCATCAATTCCTATCGATCCATCAATGGTATCATAGCCTTAGCCAAACAAGAAAATGCTAGGGTCACATTAGCCGACATCCAATATTGCTACACTATGTGTGGCCTTAAAAAGGACACTGGCTATGTTTACTACCTCAAGCCGAGGTCCACTGAATACAAAATCGTTGCTGACCTCCCTTGACTCCAACAAGGGAGCTGGGGACGATTATTTCATTACTTCGGGGAACTGGGAGTTCGCCCCAGATGAAGACCTCCATCTCTTCCCTCTTCCTCGATCAGTCTTTGTAGAAGGCAATGGTAAGATCTCTCCATTCATACCTACTTGTTTTTTAAAGTCTTTCATACTTTATCTATTTTTTAATGTCTGTTTTTCTTGCAGCTATTCCTAAGCCACCAAAAAACTTTCGCCAATCCTTCATTCCCAGCAAGGATTTGAAAAAACTTTTGGACTTGCCAGTCCATAAATGGAAGGCCCCTCTGCTTCTCAATTTTATCCCCACTTACAAGTCAGCTCTCCCCAACGTCCCAAAAAAGAAGAAGCAAAGCCTTTCTCCACCATCTGCCACAACTCCACAAATCGCGTCCACATCTCGGACAGACCAAGGGTCAACCTCTGACCCAGCTGAACAACCGTCAACCTCAGCTCCATACTTGATTCCAATATCCCAACGCCGCCGTCGACGCCGAACAGTTTCTTTTGCCGAGATGGGTCGCCTAAAACCAGTTGCCAAAGATCTCCTGGTTAACATTCCAACTGATGTTGACGCTCAGCCAACACAAACCCAGCCTCCTTCAAAGCCAAAACGAATCAAAAAGGCTCAGCCAAAGGCAAAGGTGCCTCAGATTGATTCTGAAGATACCTTGCCAATTTCCAAACTAGCTCCGAGTGAGAAAACTGCCTCTGTCCCTGCGACGAGGTCCGCCGAAACACTTTCATCCGACTCTACCAAATCCAAAAGGCCGAGGTCATCTTCTACAACGACCTCGGGGTCTAAAAAGCCTGATGCCCCCTGGGCCCCCGCAATCACTCTAGAAGATAAGCCTGTTATGGCCAACGATAGTACTGAGGACATCAACGTCGGCGTAGCCCTCAGTACTGCTCTACTTCTCCCCGGTGATCTTGATCGAAACGCCGGGTTGAGCGAGTATGAAAATTACGCTCTGATGCTTCAACATTCTGTTCAAGTGAGTGTCCTTACCTGGCAATTTTTCCATTTCCTGTACTTTAGAAGATTTTGCAATAACGTTTGTCTTGTGTTTTTTCAGGCAATCCAGCATGCGCATTCTTTCTCTGTTCAATCTTTTGAAAATCGAGAGAAGTTGACCAAGATGAAGAAGGAGTTCTCTACTCTTCAAAAAACCAACAAAAGCCTTCAATCGAAAATGAAGAAGTTAGAGGACCAGGCCGACGCTGCCATCAAGGCTCAGACCGATGCCAAACAGAAGGTTGATTCTACTGAGGCCATTAGGAAGGTTGCTGAGTCCCAAAAAAGAGAGGCCGAGGAGAAGATGGTCCAGGCCCAA